TTACTCAGGGTCAGGAGGCAACTTTTAGAATTTCAAGCACAGGAGAAGCCACTGTTGCCCAAAGTAACCGTAGCTGGTGTCTGAAGACCCTTACCACAATTCTTCTGCCTCCTGAAATCACAATATGATGTAAGCACATTCTACCTAAAGCATAACCAAAATTGCCTTTCTCTGTATGCAATTCCTTTGATCTTTTTTATGTTGTTTTAAGAACCATGTGATCTTCTCAAAGACTCTCTGAATTTTGTAGAGATAATGTTCTTGCCACAGGATACTTGTAAGGAAATGGATGCAGAGAGACACATCACTGACCAAAGGGTTTACAGCTGCATAAGAAAACGCAGAACTAGAATCCAGGTGACATTTCTCCTTTATACCATGCTAACAAAATCCACCTTCCTGCCTGCTAGCTTAATAGAGTGACTAAGTTATAAATACACACATATGTACACGATATGTGTATACACATATTAACATTTATATGCATATATTAATAGTTATACAAACATGTTTATAGGTAAGTTAAATGCGTATTGCTTTATATTTTAGTATATGTGTGCTTCTGTATGCTACCTGCTGTTAGCTATTTTAAAAGATATTAGGCCCAACTGGTGTGGCTCAGTAATTGAGCACTGACCTATGAACCAAAAGGTTTGATTCCTAGGTTAGGGCACATACCCAGGTTGTGGGCCGATCCCCAGTGAGGGGGCGTGCAGAAAGAAGGCAGCCAATCAATGATTCTCTATCATTGATGTTTCTATCTCTCTCCCCCTCCCCTTCCTTTCTGAAATCAAGAAAAAAAATATTTTTTAAAAGATTTTAGAATAAAAGGTATTTCAGATTTTAGATTCTATGGATTGATAAACTATAATAAATCTATATGTAAGACAGCGTTTAGACATGATGTTTGGATATATATGTATTGCCATGGAAATACATTGAGAATGTATTGCATAGGGAGAAAATCAAGTTACATTATGCACAGTATCATTTATTTTTGGAAAACAGCAACGAAGTTTGGAAATGTCACAAAATGTTTTCAGTGACCACACCAAGGGGGTAGGAACATGACTAACTGAAACAAATAGATTATCTTAATTCACTTATTTATTTCTGTCCATTTGCCTCCCTATCTTTTTCATTTTGCTTAAGTACATGTTCCAGCTTTTCTAAATGAACACATATCGTTATGCAATATTTTTAAAAACAATTTTAAATTCATTTAAATGTTCAAGAAACAAGACACGATGGATTGCACCAAGCAGAGACAGAGTCAGACAAAAGTTGTGGTATCACCAGGGAAAGCACTAGCACTGCCCACCGGAGACAACAGGCTCTCGGCATCCCCGGAGTGGGCAGCCCAGCCACTGCTGTGCAGCAGGAGGGTGGGCCTGGGACACAGCCAAGCCCACGTCCTTCGCTTTAGCACCATCCCCCAAAGCAGCAAGCATGTCCTTGCCTCCGGAGAACGAGCCAAGACCTGAGGGATGGCATAGTTGCGGTGTTTCACAATTACTTTTGAAACGTTTGGGAAAAAACATAAAGGAAAGCAAATTGGCAACATAAGCAATTGCTCCCACATTCTATGAATTTAGCAAGTAGGAGTCACTAGAAACTGCCTGCCTCAACAACAGACTGGCCTGCTCATAAAACTATGATGGGAAACCATTATTTTAGAAATGCATTCTGGGAACTACCAAGGAAAATAAATATCAGGACACAGGGATAGCATCATAGACAACCTACAGATGAAGGCAAATGGCCATTTCCAAGACTGTCTCCGCATACCTGCAATGATAATGAGGGAAGTAATAGAATGTTAAAGGTCCGCCATCACTCCTGAGTTCAGACTTTAAGTGAACTGCTCACTGACAGCTGCTAAAGCATCATTCTGCCCTATGTGATCCCTATGTCCAAGTTCTCAACACCTTGCCTCTGGTGTAGGATGCCTCAAGTTTTCAGTTTCCATTCTAGTTCAGGAGTTCATGGCCCAAGGCCTGTGTTTTGTCACCCTCTCCCACTGGCCTGCAGAAAGCTCCTTTATTCTCCAACATCTCCCATGAATGAGTGCTACGTTCATATTTTCACATGCCAATTTCATTAGGTCAGCTTCTGATCCAAGAATATAGGATCCAATCCACATCCCTGCACTGTATGCGTCAGGCCCCATTCACTGCGCCTGGCTCACCTCTACATGTTCTACAGTTGAAACCTGGGTGAGGAGGGTGGGGGAGTAGGAGAGATATGGGTCAGGAAACTCTCACAAGCCAGTAAATGGATTTATAATCTATCCTAGGGGTAAGGGAAAACAATTGTGTGGATTTCAAACCCAGGATTTTAAACAGCATGAATTTTTACGGCTATTAAACTTGAATCTGCTTTTGTACGACTTGGAATACATTCTTGTGTGCTGTATCACACGTAAGCATGTAATATGAGGTGAGAAAAATGGCAGATGAGTGTCTGGACTTGGCCTTTCTCAAGGAAGTCTAGCTAGTACTGTTTGAAGCAGCAAAGCATTGTGAAAAAAGAAGGTTTGCCACGAGTCAATTCCTGGGTGACAGCAATAACAAAAAAACAAAAACAAAAATGCTGAGAGAGGGGAGGAGTCGGTGGTCTCCCAGGCGCTGTCAGGGAACAGTAGAGACAACTAAAGGGGTCCCATGAGGTCACTTGGGCTTTCTCAGGAGAATGACCCTAAATTTCATTTCTAGAGTTGTTCTCTCAGAGCCCTATGGAAGGAGGAAATGAGGTGTCTAATCGTGTCGCCTGCGTGCAGTCAGATTTGCATATGGCAACCATCCTGGGCTAAAGATATTGCTCTATGACACAGTCACAGAATTAAGGAGCTGGAAAGGTCCTTCCATCACCTACCACTAGTTTAATAAAATAATTCCGTTGCCAGGTAACAACACATTTATTCTCTGTTCAATGTTGCTGATCTAACTCTATTCAAGTGCAGGATTTGCTACCTAAATATCACTCTATATGCATTTGCAAGAGGCCCGAGGTGCTTGAGTATGTCTGATGCTCTCTCCTCTTCCTCTTTCTAATCCTGCCTCAGCCAAAACTACTGCTCCCTGTGGAGGCACGAGATTCCTAATGCCCAAAATAGTAATTCATTGCTTGAGCCCAATGAGCTGACGAAGCCAAGTAAACAAATCCGTGACTGTGTGCTGTTCAGCAGGGGCTTCCTTTCAATTCTATAAAGATTAGGACAGCACCCGGGACGTCTCTGCTGAATAATTTGATCGGATGAGAAAATGAATGCCACGTTTCTATCTGAGCGTTGCTATTCCCCACAGATGCGCCATTCTCCACCAGCACCCAATCCTCCCAACAACCTCTGGGAATTCCTGGGGAGCTATTAAAATGGAAATCAGCAAGTCCTCTCATTTTATAAAAGATACAGACTCTCACTTGCCACAATTACCTAAAAGCAAAAGCCTAAAATAATATAAAACAAGAGTTTGAAGTTCAGTATTTGTTTAGGAAAAATCCCTTAGGATAGCAGGTGAGACCCCAGTTCCAGGTGCCCTAATTTGGGTTAAAAAAAAAAAAAGAAAAAAGAAAGAAAGAAAGAAAGAAAGAAAGAAAGAAAGAAAGAAAGAAAGAAAGAAAGAAAGAAAGAAAGAAAGAAAGAATGAATCCAGGAGGGCAGAAGAAAAGGAGATGGTGGAAGATTGCATGTTTATCAAGGTGACTCTTTGTGAACCTCCCAAATCTTTGATCAAGTTGTTAAAACTCACAAAAGGCTTGAGGAAATATATTTTCATAGAACTTAAAGAATTTTATAGCATGTTTTGCACAGGGGCGCCAGAGGGGGGTACAGAGAGAAATACAAGAAGAATGCGTACTCCACCTCATTAGAATTGGATTTGAGTCCAGTTCAACCAATTCCTAACAGAATGGGTGCCAGTGGATTAGTTAGTGGTCAATGAATGTAAATTTATCAACTAAAAATTTTGCCCACAAACCATGCACAGAACTTATTTTACATTTATAAAATTGCATGCTCTAATACTCTGTTGCTTGCTCTACGGAATATACAAGTTACTTTTAAAGAATGGTGTCATATAAAAATAATTGTCCTGGCTTAAGTAATTCCTAACTTTTCCTTAGCTGATCAAAGGATACCCATTGCTGATCTTCACTTTACCCCCAAAACAAACTCAAGCTTTGCCAAGATTAGCCATTGGCTACTCCGAGGTTAATGGAGAGGATTAGCACACTCATTCAAATCTTCAACAACATCATTTTCAAAATGTCTCAAGCCAGAAAGGATCAGCACACCTTCTAACCATAACTTTATTCCTCCCCCTTTCCAAACAGAAAACTAGCCTGTGGAGAAAACCACAAAAGCACACTGCCTCAGAATGAGAGATCAGACAACTCTCCTATCAAGATTGTCCAAGCATAATTTCATACCATCACTGAGCATGCCAAAGAACAAGACACAACAGTCACCAACGCAGCGCTGGCTCACAGGTTAGCAATTCCAAAACCAACCCGTCTAATAAAGAAGGTCAGAGGAGAAGATAGTCAAGGAGGAGAAATGAAAATAGGGTCTGTGGACTGGCACCCCTAATAGTTCTTAAATTTGAGTCTCTTTTTTGTAGAGACTTTAACAGTGTATTTCCCATATCCAATGCTGTCCACGTAAATCCTGAGATGATTGGAATCTCTCATAGAATAGTAACACTCATAGACACGGAAAGTCTCCCTCGTAACGACATGCATTTGGATGGCCTTCTCCAACCAAAGCTAAGTCAGCCAAGCAGCGTGGCTTTCTCTTCCGTACAACACAGGAGAATGGCCTACATGTGTATGGAACCAGAAATGGTTTCTAGAACTTGTTTATTCGCTCTGGTCCAAGTCCCAGAAATTTAAAAAAAAAAAAAAAAAAGTAACTTTCCCAATGGGATCATGGGCTCAACAAGGATCTTCAGCTCAGCCGTGGTGGTGAGAGAGGCTGGGGCTGGGAGGGGGAGTGGACTCACCAGTTGATTGCTGTACCAGTAGAGGGAGGACGCCTTCAGCACCACCCAGACCTTCTTCCATTTGTTGCTCAGGAAAGTTCCTTTCTCCTTCTTCTTGTAGAGCCACCCTTGGCAGTCCGCGTGGCCCAGGTCTTTACACGATATCCTCCTCCGGCTCATTGTGAAGAAACCTGCAATGGTTACATGGAAAGATGGTCACGTATCACCCCGACGAATATGACAGAGAAAGGAAACTTCATTGTTTACCTCCTGGGAGTTGGGCTCTTTTTCAACCAAGATTTATGCAAAGTAGATGCAAAACAAAAAAAAACAACAACAAAAAGTCATTTATCTCTTCTATTTTTAAACATTCACTTAGTGCTTAGAAGGCACAAGACAGGACCCAAGAAACAGTGAGACTGGCATGCAGGTGTTAGTCTAAGACTGTTATTAAACACGAACAAGTGGAGAAATTCAAATCCTGAGGCTGCTTGGCACCTCGTGGCACAGACAGAGCGCCTGTCAGCAGTAACAGCGGTGGTTACGCAATTGGCAGGAAAGGGTTAATGCCCACCAAACACACAGCCACTTCCTGACCCTGTGCCAGGCTCTCAAAGCCCTCCTGACACCCCACAGGAGGTTAAGCCAAAGGAACAGCATGCCGGCAATTCTTAACACCGACCCCCAAATAACCCACATTAATCTCCCGTTCACCCCCTGATAGGAACAGTAAGACAGACAGAAAGCTGAGCCCAAAGAAGACAGCCAAGAGAAAGAGAAACAACGTGCAAAAGGGGGGTGAGCAGACAAAAGAGATCTCATTACCTTGAGTTTTCCTTCCCGGCTTCTGACGAAGGGGAACCTGCTGAAAAGGCAGGAAGGGAAGAAAAGAGGAAATCTCTGATTGTGTTGTAACATTTGTAAAGAGAGAAGGAGGGAGGAGGTGGCAGTGTTTGTGAGCAGGATGGAGCTAAAAAAAACCTCTCCAGGCAGAGCGGAGGGGAGCTATGGCTGAGGCACAAAATGTGCTAATTAGAATCAATAGACATTAGCTGAACCTGAAAAAATGAAAAAATAAAAAAATAAAAAAAGCAGGTAACACGTTTATCACTAATGTTTCCTGTTTCCACCCACAGGCAGCCTTCTCACTATCACTTCAGCTATGACAGGACACTGCTCATTGAAGTTCTTAAAAATATGTGTCTATTTCCTTTTTATTTTTTTGTGAGAGGAGAAAAATATCTGCATCCATCCTGCTTCGCTTCTTGCAATTTCTAAGTAACAGTTATTTAAATTAACCTGGAAGATAATCATTGCAATCTCACAATACTACAGGTTTGCCATGCATGGTCCAGCTACCACATAGGGTTACAGCCAAACCACAGGAATTAAATATCCCAGAAAAGAAATGCCACAGTCTCTTTGGTAGCTCTAAGTTGCCATCAAAGCCTCCTTCTCAGGGAAGTTTTATCTACAGGCAAATTTAAATTGCTTATCTGTCTTAAGTCCCCGTGAATAATTCTCACATTCTAAAAGATCAATAGCGACTCCTGATTTATAATAGTTCTGCAAATACTCAAATCAGGCTTAAGGCAAAAATCTGAAATACACATTTTCATTCCACATTTTAAACCATTGGTGTAAATCAGACTTTCAATAAAAATAGAAAACAAACAAACAAAAACTGGTCTTCTTTGTGTGTGTGAGTGGGTGGGTGGGTGTGGGTGTGTAGAAAGAAAGACATTTAGATTAAAGGGTTTCTTCTTTTTTTCCACAATATCTAAGCTGAATTTACTTGGGTTTAAATGACAGATTTTTATGCTAACAAGTAAAGAAGTTGAAAAAATTGTACATAATTGAAAAGCAGTTCTACAAGTTGGTAGGCCACCTTATTATAACATTTTATATCATTCCAGATGCACCTGGCTAGTATTCTACATATCTAAGTATTGATCCAATAATTTTTATATATGGTTCCACTATACATTTAAAAAGAGAATATAATATAGTGGAATTAGGATGGGATTTTTTTTAGCCTGAAATCAATTCATGACTGTCATAATTAGCAGCTGTTACCCGGGAAAAATTCATTTATCACGCAGAACCTACTTCCGCATTTGTAAAATCAAGATACTCATAATTCCAATCCTAAGGTCTCATAATGTTTAATAAGACTGTATGTGAAAATATCCTGAAAACTAAAAATCATTATATGATTACACGTAACATAACATTAAATGATTATAGATATAAACAAATACTTGATGTATAATAAACAGAAATTTCACATTAACTTTTTAGTAAAACTTGTATTTCTTTCAGCAACAATGATGAAGTTAAAGTGCTTAAATTATATTTTCTGGAAAATCACAAACTGACTTTTTATTTTACAAGTGTTAGAATAAAATTTTATCCCCAAAGAAATTAATCATCCTTGTGGCGGGGGGCGGGGGGAGGAAGAATATAACAAAGCAATAACTGTCCTAAATTTAGTCAGAAATAGACATGTTGCAGATAAGACACGTGACTAAACTTCAGGCATGTTATCACATCAAGGTCCTAGTCTCATCTCCACTTCACAAAATATCTCCCACACTGACCTGCATCCTGGTCTGAAATCCCCACCATCTCCTCGAATGGCCTCTTGGGCCTTTTTTATATGCAGTTCTCTGAGATCAGTAAAACCAATAGTAGCTATTAACAAAATATTTTAGACCAAATCAGTACATTATTTGGAGAGCTAACACTTATCCAGGAGTCAGGACGAAGGGCAAGGGAGTAAATTTGGATAGTGGGAGTGATTTGAAAGTGGTGGGTCCAGAAGAGGCTAGCGAGTACTCCAGACCAACTAAGAACTAAAGCAATAGAGGGGAAAGGGAGCTAGCTGTACAGAGAGGTTCCTAGAGGGTTCTGGCCCCAGACTGACAAGGTGAAACTGCATTACTAGAGCTCACCGAAAAAGAGCAGCTTTAATAAGAACGAGAGAGAGAGAGAGAGAGAGAGAGAGAGAGAGAGAGAGAGAGAGAGAGAGAGAGAGAGAGAGAGAGAGAGAGAGAGAGTCACAAGAGGAATGCTATAGGATCTGTGAAGGGAACCAATGACTCTCCTCCACCCATCCCTTATGAACGCCTTAGTGCTGGTTCTAGAGACAGCCCCAAATCAAACTGTATGTAGCCTTTGTCTCAATCTTGCCCAAGACTAGCCCTTGGTCTGCACTAGATTCTTGTGCCTAGGCTGTATAAGAAGTGGGAGCTCTAAGCAGAACAATACCTATAACAGGGTGATCACCCAACATCAAGAAAGTGCTTTATTTAGACTGTTTTAAAGGGGTGGAGGGGGGTGTGTAGAGGAGTTCAGCCATTGGGTCAACTCTCCTTAAGAGCACTTCTCTTAAAGTAAATTATTTCACAATCTGCAGTAACTGTAGAAACCATTTCCCCAGTGAGAAACAGACTGAATATTATAGAAATAACAAATTACAGGGAGTTTCAGTTTCACTTGAGGTATAGGAATTTGAAACCTATATTGGTTGACATCAAAAAATGAAAACAATCTTGAGAACTTTAGTGAGCTTAGATACATCTTACCCCTCACAACAGGAAGTGGAACTGGCGAACTAGTCAGTTTCAAAAAGATCTTACATGTGGTTTTTTTCAGTGAGAGAGTGAAAAAAAGAAAAAAAAAAAGGCGAACACTGGTTGAGCATGTTATGAGATAGTTTTTTAACAGGGGAATTACATAAAGCTTATACATATATAATTTTTGCCACATGGCAGGCACTGACCTCACTCTTTCTCATAACAATAATCCAGAGCCTATTAAAATATTTTTATCATACTATTTTCTTACCATTGGAATGTTATGGGTAAAATTTGAAAATTACTCTAATTTGCCTTCACTTGCTTCTAACGTTGGGGGTAAGCTTTTCTTTTAAATACATTTCTTCTTTTGATTGCAAAAGAGTACTTTTACTTTTCAAGATGGTTAAAACATCATTAGGTCACTAATCACTCAAAACACAAGCATAAAAAGAAACCAGTACAAAATATAAAAAGGGACCTCTTTTGGTATTGAATGATGTTAACACCCAGGATAATTATTACATTGACTGTGAATATATATAGTAATTTGTTAAATATTGCAGGCATAAATTTGCCCTCATGCTATATTAAAATTAACGGTAAGACGGTTCATCATGACATCAAACTTCATAATGATATTGGTATTTAGCAAAATTATACAGTGATATGCTGCCAAATGGGTACTGATTTGTAACATTTAGCTAATTTCCAGGGTGTAAAGCTTCACATTTCTGTCAATTTCAAGCTACCAATACTTTAACCAAGCCACAAAATTTCCTATATATTGTAGGGCCAGGCCAACATCAGTTGATACAGCTGTTAGGGATATTTACCCACAACACTTTCCCCCACAAACATCTTTACTCCTTCCTAGAAAATTAAACTGAATTTTTAAAGGGAAATTTAAAGCTTTTAATTATTAAAATTTTGCCTTTGAAAATACATGAAAAACTTGCTTAATTTTTTCTGAAGACTACCTACCTAAAATATTACTTAATAGATTAATATTTTATAAAATATCTATTAGTGGGAAATGGAGAGAGATAATAGACAGTCTAATCATAATAGCAATAGAAAACACTGACAGCTAAGAAATATACATAAAGCTTATACACATATAATTTTTGCCACATGGCAGGCACTGATCTCACTCTTTTCATAAATTCTGGGGCTGAATTCTCATATTTGTGGCTTAGGTGCTATGTTTTATTTCCACTTTATAGGAAAGATAATTGAAGCAAATGGAGTTTTAGTATTTTGCCCAAAGTCACAAAAGTCAATGGAAAAACACAAATGTTTATTTTGAGAATAAAACTTACAAAAGTAGTAGTTTGATAAGAGGTTTGCTTGTGTTGTCAGTGTGGTATAAAGGAGTAGGACAGGGAAGCAAGACTAGAGTCCAAGGGGAAGCTGAGTGCAATGGCACTTTCTACATAAAAGAGAAAAAGAAGAAATAAAGAAAGGACGACTGGGAAGAAAAAAGAGACAGGAGAGAAAGATCTAAAAGAGAGGAGCAAAAAAAGGGAGTGGGCACAGGGAGAGGAAGGTGAGGAGGGGGAGGAAGAGAAAGAGGAGGAGGAGGAAGTTAGAACATGTATAGTGAGAGAGAGCAAAATGACAGGGAAAATCTTGGAGTTTCTAGCTCAAATATTTGAACAAATGACAACACTATAGAGAGTATAATTTTATATTATACTCTGAAGAAATAAATAAAAACATATATATATATATATATGTTTAGTAGTAAGCATATTGAGTTTGGTATACACATGCAGCACACAAGTGGAAATAGTATATATAGTATTTAAGGGTCAAGGGATTTGGAGAAAATCTGGAATAAAGATATAATATTGGGAATCATCAGTATACAGAGAGTAGAAGTCTTGAGTTTGTATAAGATCACCAAGATGTGGAAGATCAAAGGACAGAAGTCAGAATCCAAAGGCAGATCAATACATTGCCCAAAAGCAGTAGAAGAGGTGAGTCCAAGGAGACTGAGCAAGAGCAGCCACTGAAAAACCAAGAAAATCCAGAGAGGGATTATCATGGGAGTGAGAGAGAGACTCAAGAGAAAGGTGGGTCCAAACCATCAATGCTGCCAGGATAAAGGAGACAGGAAAAGTTCATTAGAGATCTTGACAAAATAGCTTCATTGTCAAGGTGGGCTAGGAGACCAATTCCAGTGGGTTGGGGATGAAGGGGAATTGAAGAAATAAATACAGTTTGAAAGACTCTTTGTCAACAATATTCAGGCTTAAAAAAATTGATTTCATGTAAAATAAAG